TTGTAGACAATAATTATGCCAACTTTATAGGAGAGAAAAGAAGATACTGGTAGGCTAATAATTAGTCTAACTCAAATATGTAGAGTCTAGACAGAGTTGTGATCTATACCTAGATAGTGTGATCTCACATGAACTTGTTCCTATTATACTATGCCAGGCTTTCCTTATGTTGTTTAATTATATTGGGATATATGTTCACAGTGTGCTTCAGAATTACATAGACAGTAAATCTGATACAACAAAATGAGTGAATGACATGTAAGACATTTTGCAAGTATATAACATCCAGTCTTATTAGTGATTAGGGAAATATATAACACTGCCCCAATGATTTTTATTCCCAAAATTTTGGCAAAAAATAAGCTATCTAATGATGTAAGATCAGCATCAACATATTCTCTTTTATTACTCAGAGTAGAAACTTATTGCCTTTCTAAAAGACAACTGAGGAATGCCTGGGAGGCTCAGTATGTTATGAATCCAACTCTTAGTTTTGGCTCAGTTCATGATCTCACAGTTTCATGAGTTTGAGCCCTGCTTGGGCTCTTCGCTGGAGGCTGCTTGGGATTCTCTGTTTCCCTCTCTCTCTCTGCCCCTCACCCACTCATGTTGTCTCTGTCTTTCTCAAAATAAATAAACTTGAAATAAAATAAAAGACAGCTGATAATAGGATTTACTATGCTTATCACTTTATGTAACCTAGAGAGATGCCAGGTGATGGGATGAATGTGGAACACATTAATAAATTTATGTTTATGGTAATGTTAATACATCTCCTATTAGGTGAGCAAGTTGGGAAATTAACAAATGTCTTTTGTATTATTAAAAATAATTTATATTAAGCCATAATGAAAAGGTACATGAGAACCATTTAGAGGGAAAAACAATATTTCTCTAATTCTGCAAAGGAAATGAAAGCCCAAGAAAGTAATGGAGAGAGAGCTCTACTATCCATGGAAAGACAAACTTAAAAATCTTGGAGTAAGTAGGATTTGGACAGACTGTGCATTTTAGTATGATAGGTATAGTGCTAATAGTTTGGTATGCAATGACAGCCCCAAGATAAGATATCCCATTTCCTAGTGCTCTCCCTGCCCTAGACTTACACAACACCTGGCCTGCCCCAGTGACTTCAGTCCCATTTTCTCACGTAAAGTCAAAGCAGGACCTATTAGCTTTACATCTGCACTCTCTCCTGAGATTCTTATCCTAAAATTAGATGTATCTCTCTGTGTGTATTCATGGTTAAGAGTGCAGATACTGGGGTCAGATACTGGGAATATAAATGGTCACTACCATTTAGTAGTGACCTAGTAAAACAGGGAAGATAAATGTTACTATTTCATTATTTATTATAATAATTAAATGCTATAATCCATAAAATGTTTTTTGAACATTTTGAATATGGTTAAGTTTAAAGCCCATTAGCTATAATAATTTAAATTTTTTCTTTATATATACACACACATCTCAATATAGAAGTCGACACATGCTCTACCATTTTTTCTAATCTAATTTACTAATTTATATCTATATCTATCTATCTATCTATCTATCTATCATCTATCTATCTAATGTACTTCACTGCAACCTTTGGGGTTTATTTAGTAGATAATTCAGCATTTTTTTCAGTTATGATACACAAAAAGAAACGTAATTTTTTCCTTAATTTTTCAACTTGCAAGGTTTAGATTTTTGCCATTTAGATTCAGTAGTACTAATTTAAAGTATCCTTTACCTTATGGCCTTTTAATGATTGTCTTAGTTAAAGTCATGAGCATGACATATTTTTTCTATACTTTATAAATGGCCTATATGTGTTTTGTTGTGGAAACAATGCAGAAGCAAAAAATTTAAAATAATATTAGCCTTATTAATTTAACATCCTTCTTTCTTTTTTATCTTATATATATATATATATATAAACTGATAAATCATTATTTTCAGAAATATAATGGCTTTCTTAGAGAGTATAAACATGAGGTACAGAATGAAATGTAAATTTAATACTTAGGACCATATGTGTAGTGATTGTCCATTTTTTAGGTGGTGCTTAAAATGATATTCAGGTACTACAAGTAACTCTAAATATATGATTTTTGAGCTTATTTTATTTATTCTCTGGGCCAAAAACTCACTATTCATAGTTTGAAACTGTCACATTTTCTCAGAATTGTCTTCAGACGTTATGATAATAATATGGCATGAGAATGAGCATAGTGAAATTATATTGAGTTCCTTAGAGGTATATAAACCAAAAATAAATGCCATGAAACTGCAGTGTCTGAGAACTGTCTCAGACTAATGGTAATCTGTACATATGATACAGATTTATGAAAATCTTGTAAAGATCTCTAGGGAAGACACTTTAATATTCTTAGTGTATATTCATATATATTCAACACAATTAATATACAAATAATAAAAATAATATACAAATAAATATATATCACTTTATGTATCACTTACCAAAATCTACTAGAAGAGCTACTATATTTATTGTTTGTTTCTTTATTGTTCTAGGCTCCCTAAACTTGCAGTTTTTATTTGTTTTGCCAAAGCAAAAGTTAAATTTGTCATATGTCATTCCTATATGAATTCCATCAGCATAAGCTTTCTGTACACAATTTCATGTGAATCTATTCTTAAAATAGAATGCAGAACTCATTTGTTAACAATTAATATGAATATCTCAGTATTCCTGAATAGACTTGTTTTTTTTCCAAAGAAGACATATAGATGGCTAACAGGCATATGAAAAGATGCTCAAAATCACAAACCATCAGGAAATGTAAATCAAAACCACAGTGGGATATCACCTCACAACTATTAGAATGATTATCATTCAAAAAACAAAAGATAGCAAGTATTGGTGAGGACTTGGAGAAAAAGAACACTTGAGCACTTTTGATGGGAATATAAATTGATGCAGCTACTATGGAATATACAATGGGAATTCCTCAAAAAATTAAAAATAGAACTACCACACAATCCAATTTCACTTCTAAGTATTTATACAAAGAAAACAAAAAACACTAATTTGAAAAGGCACATGAACTCCTATGTTCATTGCAGCATTATTTACAATAGCCAAGATGTGAAAGCAACCTAAATGTCCATTAATACATTAATGTATAAAGATGTAGTATATACATAAAATGAAATATTATTCATCCATTAAAAAAGAATGAAATCTTTCCAATTGCAACAACATGGATGAACCTAGAGGGCATCATGTTAAGTGAAGTAAATCAGACAGAGAAATACAAATACCAACTGATTTCACTTATATGTGGAACTAAAACAAATGAAAAAACAACAACAACAACAGAAACATACTCATAAATACAGAGAATAAACTAATGGATGCCAGACCAGAGGGAGACAGAATACACAAAATAGGTGAAGGGAATTAAGAGGTGCAATCTTCCAGTCATAAAATAAATAAGACATGGGGTCATAATGTATAGCATAGGGAATATAGTCAATATTATTGTAACAACTCTGAATGGTGACAGATAGCAACTAGGCTTGTTGTGGTGAACATTTCATACTGTGTGTATAAATATTGAATCATTATGTTGTACACCTGAAACTAATACAATATTGCTCATCAGTTATTTTAATAGAAAAGAGAAATGTCCAAAAAATTAATAACAAGTTTTCATTTTATCATTCAATTATCAAAACAACACATTTTCATGTGAGAAATTATACTGTGTGACTGGTAGGTTCAGATCTAAATATTTTCATGCTCTCTCCTTTCTCTCTGGATTTGAGAATATGTATCAAGGAATATTTAAACCAGATATTCTTCTAGTGCTAGTACTCAAGAAATAATCACAGATAAGCAAAAGCATTGCTATCCAATCATGTTATATACAGCATTACTATAATAAAAGAAGAATCGAATGTTACATAAATGCTTATAGTTTTTTGTTGTAATCCCAAAATTCTTCCTTCTAACTTCTCTAATTGAAGGGAAAATGTTGAGGGGCGCCTGGGTGGCTTAGTCGGTTAAGCGTCCGACTTTCACTTAGGTCATGATCTCGTGGTTTGTGGGTTCGAGCCCCGCGTCGGGCTCTGTGCTGACTGCCAGCTCAGAGCCTGGAGCCTGTTTCAGTCTGTGACTCCCTCTCTCTCTGACCCTCCCCTACTCACGCTGTCTCACTCTCTCTGTCTCCTAGAAATAAATAAAACATTAAAAAAAATTAAAAAAAAAAAAGGGAAAATGTTGAAAAGTGACAGAAAACACTTGGCTCATGGGTAAAGATGGTTAATAATGATGTCATTTCTTAAGCAACATCAAGTTAGTCAATATTAATGAAACAAATTATATTTCATTTTCAAAATATTTTAATTTTTTCAACTTTACTCTTTAACAGGGAAAGAAACCTTATGTAGTAGTCCTTCTTTATCCATGTTTTCACTTCCTATGGTCATCTGTGGTCTGGAAGCAGATGATCCTCCTGTCGTATTGTCAGAAAGTCAGTAGTGGCCTAATGCTACATCTCAATACCTACACTATTCACCTCACTTTATCTCATCACATTGTCATCTCACATCATCACAAGAAGAGTGAGCATCTTTCAAAAAGATATATTGAGAGACAGACCACATTCACTGATGTTTACTTTTATTAGAGAATATTGTTGAATATAATTGTTCTATTAAAATATTATTAGTTATTGTTGGTCATCTCTTACTATGTCTAATTTATAAATTAAATGTCATCATAGGTATGTATATATACAAAAAACACTATCTACAGGGTCTGAGACTCTTTGGCGTCTGCAGTTTTAGGCATCCAAAACTGGGTCTTGGAATCTATCCCCAATGCATGAGGAGGACTAATGAATGACTGGTGCCATGGAATCATGATATCAGTGTGTGAAATGTTTCTGATTAATCCCTGCATCACTGATGATCTCATTTAAAAGTGTCATAATAGGCATGAAAAGCATGGTTTTAGGCATAATAGACATGAAAAGCATACTCAGACTTAGTATGAGTTCTAAGATGTGTGATTTTGGACCAGTTATTGAAACTTTCTATCATTTGCAAAATGAAAAATATAATAAGAATTATTAAATTAATAATTGTCATTGAAGCATTTGATCAATATCTGGCAGAAAATTTGTCAAATAAATATGCTTATTATTTTTCTGCATAAGCTCTATATACTAATATTTAAAAGTGTTTAGTGGTGTCTAAAGTCTTTTTACAAGCTATGTATGTATATCTATTGCATATATCTAAATCTACCTGAATGCTTAAGTTTACAGCTTAAGTACAACAAATGTTATATAAATATTATCCTACTACTTGCTATTACTACTACCAGTATTGTTATTATTAATTTATTCTTTCATGTTTACAATCAAAATCACTCATACTCACAAAAATATGTTATGGAATTAATAAAGAATATTGAACCAATGTCTTCTGACTCAGGGACTTGAGCCAATATCTTCTGACTATAAACTCCATACCCTATCCATCACACTACAGTCACTTATCTACTACAAAATTAATTAGTTCTAAAATATAGGATTTTTAGGGGTGTTAAAAAACCTCTATAAATCTATGAAAAATAATTGTAAGATATACCAAAGGTAGAAACAAACAAACAGCCAGACAAAGGTTATCTTTAAACAGCCTAGCAATATGTGTTTCTTCAATTGCAAATATATTATAGAATCAAATGTTTTCACTTCCTAGTCTACATAGAGTTGTGGGATGAAAATCATATCAGTATTAATTATAAAACTCTATAATTGATAGTCATAAACATGTCTTTGTAATATGTAAAATCTTGAAAGGCATTATAAATATTATAAACTAAAATAATTCAAGTTGCTCCAGACCAAGAACATGTTATTGCTAAGCAATGGGTTTGGGCCAGCACTTTTGTTTGTTTTTATAGGATGTGGCTGCAGCATTTTTCTTCATAAAATTATGTCAGTATTTGCAAAACTCAGCCAGGGTGAAGAATTTTCATACAAAATCCAAAGAGAGCCAACCACTCCTCTAAGGTTAGCATAATAGGAATTTCAAGGGTAAATTTCAAATCAAAGTGTTTAAATATATCTCCAATTTTATGACTCAACCTATGCAAAACAAGATCAGTCAGTATACTCCATTTCTTACAGCAGTTTACATGACTAAAAGTTATATTGTGGTTTGTTATTCATTCTATGTTGCCTATCTTCATGACATCATGTATAGGAAAAAGGGATAGTGTGAATATAATCAGACTAAATAGTTTTATTCTTTACAAACACTATCACCTCATCAATAATATTTATTTTCTTCCATGTGCAAAAAGTTATATGCATATAGTGCTATGACACAATAAGTTGAATAAGTGTTCATGGCATAGTCTATACCTTTTAAGTCCACCATTTGACTTGAAAACTCAAGACACAAAACTTTGACAAGTTAAATTCAAATCTTAATGGTAGTAGTATGAGATAGTAAGGTGATACACATTGCTTAGGTTAAAAACAATGAAAGAACTGACAGGAGGTTAGAGGAGAGTAAAAAGGCAAGCAATTCAGGGTGGTTTGATTTATGTATATTCATATGTATGTGTGAGATATGAAATATTCTAAGTTATGAGAACATACATATAAGTGTATAAGTGTATGTGTGACATAATATTGTATATGCCACATAATGCACACATATACACATATGTTTTTGTGATATCTATGTGTGCTATAGTCTAGTTCATTTCAATCTAACTCAGAACATCTTGACTACCAAATGTATATTAAGTACTTCCCAAGTGTAAATGTGTAGTGAAGTGGGGACAAGTGAGAACAAAGAATAAACCTTTCAATTGTGTAAGCACTCTTCAAGAAAAGAAAAGGTGGTGAAATATATCCTCAGCAGAGGTTAACAGAGCTTCTTATTTTAGTTGTTTCTTTTTGTACCTTCCAATGAAATGTCCGAGCTGAGGCACCTGGGTGGCTCAGTCAGTTAAGCGTCCACTTCGGCTCAGGTCATGATCTCACAGTTCGTGGGTTCGAGCCCTGCATTGGGCTCTGTACTGACAGCTCAGAGCCTGGAGCCTGCTTCAGAATCTGTGTCTCCCTCTCTCTCTGTCCCTCCCTCATTTGGAGTCTCTCTCTCTCAAAAATGAATAAATGTTAAAAAAAAATTTTTTAATGAAATATCTGAGCTGGAGCTAATCTTTGAAATGACATGAGAACCATTCTAACAGTCAGTTTCCCATAATAAGTATAACTGGCTTTGTTATAAAAAAAAAATAGTTGTCTACAGACAGTTCCTCCTTGCTACATGGTTTGGAATCATGTAGAAAATGATAAAACTATATTTTTCATCTTTATTTTATATTTATATTTGGAATGACTGCCCTTTGTCTGATCTAAACAGATAGAGACAGCCAAATGCATTTGGCCTTAGATCTTTAACTGAAAGTAAGTATGACTTAAGGCAATTAATTTATCTTTTCTTTTTTTTCCCTGTAAACTCATCTATAAAGAAAAAATTCTTATCTCCTCCATTATATATTGGTTGAACTAATGTCTGTAAATGAGTGTTAAGTACTGTGCATATTTTATTCAGTCCTTTCAAGTTCGTATCAAGACCATATTATGTATGCAATATGTAAACTATGAGTCATATTATCTTTGACTTTCTCTTTGCTTTCAACAACGTGGATGATATTTCTTCAAGGTGCTACCTGACAATGTGAGGATAGAGTATTTTAGCCAAATACCTGCAGAGAGGGTGATGATGTCTTGTGCCTTCAAGATGGTGCCAGCAAGCTTATCATCCATCTTAATTTCTCATGACATGTTTATCTACTTAATTCACTGTGGCATGAAGGAGAGATGAAGATGGTCTGCTTTAGATAAGCTTGACAGTATGCAGTATCCTTTGCACCTCATTAGACCTATATATTTAAAAAAAGAAGAGAGCAAGAAAAGACTTATTTAAATAGCCATTTAAGAATTTTCTTTACAAATCATGACAGCAAAGAGATTTCAAGAAGCTTATACACCAACAAAGATAGATCAGAAACAATCTACTATATGAATATTCTCTTGCCCTTTAAACAAAATTTTACATGAGCTTGTTAATATTATTTTCACAACTCATTTCTTAATTCTGTGCCAACAAGTAACTTTGTGGGGAATTAAAATCCAATAGGCACTAAAATATGCAAGAAGAGTAGAAGTATGAGAATATTTTAAGCTATACTATTACTTTAAATTAAAGACTAATGCTTATCCTTTGCTTAGAGAAAAGATTTTATGCCATTTTTAGACGCTGTATCTTTAAAGTCCTCAGAATTAGAACAGTGTCCAAATTGGTTACTTAGTCTCCAGAATAATACAAGTAACTATATTCATCAAAATATATTATAAAGCCTACAGATTTATTTTAATAAATTTATTTACATAAATTTTTTTAAAATGTTTTAATGTTTTATTTATTTCTAGGAGAAAGAGGGAGAGAGAGACAGCGTGAGCAGGGGAGGGTCAGAGAGAGAAGGAGTCACAGACTGAAGCAGGCTCCAGGCTCTGAGCTGGCAGTCAGCACAAAGCCTGACGCGGGGCTCGAACCCACGAACTGCGAGACCATGACCTAAGCGAAAGTCGGACACCTAACCGACTAAGCCACCCAGGCGCCCCTATTTACATAAATTTTAAATGGAGTTTCATCTATGCTTTATCTAATATCAACTTCCTAGTACTTTGGAGCTTGTGGTATTCGGAATTCTATTCAGGACAATGTAATATTTATAGGCTATTCATCTGTTCCAGATGTTCACATAGTTTTATTGTGCTAGAATTTATATTTAGTTGGTTACCAGATGCCAGCACCCTCATTGCATGGCATAAGTCTCCTTCCTCCATATCAGTGCTTGACAGAGCAGCCATGCCCACAGAAATAGATGCCTTCTTTTTTTAAAGGATGGTGTTGTCCAAGGTTTGTCCTAGATATGTAAGAAATAGGAATTTCAGGATACCTTGTGTTTGAATGATGCTCTTTAACCAAACAATTTTAACTTTTCTCTGGCTTTCAATCACTGTTTTTTCATGTCTTACTTAAATTTATTTTCTACAAAATACAATAGAGTAATTTGCTATATTTTAAACTAAACCAAAAGTATATGAAAATGGAATTTCTGAGCAGGAGGTTGTAGGGATAGAGTTACTGGTAGCAAGTCTCACACACTCTGCACGATATATAGAAAACTCTGGCTCTGGAAACTGACAGACCAGTTGTAATTCTAATTCCACTATCTGATAGCTGTGTGACCCTACAGAAATTACTAAATTTCACTCGTACTTATTATTTCATCTATAACATGAGGATAATAATATTATCTATTTCGAGGAGTTCTTTTGAGAATAAAGTGAGATATTGTAAAAATTGTTTATCTCTGTTCTCAGCATAAAGTTGAATAAGGACACATTTTTCAAAAATAATTTTCCAAGGGTAATTTAATGACTCTTTTTCTTTAACTGGTTTGTACAGTCACAAGAATGGAAATTCATTATTAATACTTTTGAATCTGGAGATATAGAGAGAAGTAATAACATTCTTTCCTTCATACCCATCTGTACTGTCAATCTTATATATTCACTCTATATATCAATCCCATGTAAATATAAATGGATATTTTTAAAACATAGCACAATTTTCATGAAACACTATGTAATTCAATAAATATTAAAATCATTTAAATATATGTCTAGTTTTTCTCATTATGCTCATTAACTGCTAAAATGGATTGGTGATGTTATCACTGTATTTGTCAGCAACTGGAGAATTGCTTATCTATTTCTGGGCTCTATTTTGGGTCCAAATTATCTAAATTAGCATTATCCTAGCATTCCAAGTGTAGACATGGATAAATTAGTTGTCTTTCCCATTGCCTAAGTTGTGTAGCTGATTTTGTACATACAAATGCAGTATGAATTACTGGCATCAAAACAGTATATCATACAAAGCTTCTTCAATTTCAGGAGGCAGGTTTATAAAATGTGGATTTTCATCACAATATTTATAAACTAAATAGTGGCCTCTCAAACCACTATTGATGTAGTCCTAGGATTGTTTTATTATTGAAATAAAATTCTGAAGTAAAAAATTGTCTAAAAGTTATTTTCCTCTTCTTAAGTAACAAAATGCTCTTATTTTCCAGCTCTATCTGAAGAAATATATTGATTTCTTTTTTATTATTTTTTTCTTTATTTGAGAGAGAGAGAGAGAGAGTGAGTGAATACAAGCTGAGGAGGGGGCAGAGAGAAAGAGAGAATCTTAAGCATACTCCAAGTTTAGCATGGAGCCCTACATGGGGCTTAATCCCATGACCCTAGGATCATGACCTAAGCCAAATTTAAGAGTCAGATGCTCAGCCAACTGGGCCACTCAGGTGCCCTTAAATATATTAATTTCTGACTTCTTAGCTTGTAAAAAAACATAAATGTGCCTTTTATTATCACTAGTCCTGAATATGTATTTAAACATAATTTTCTTTGATAGTAAAACAAAAAAACTAATATATAAAGTGATTAAAAGATGTCCTTTCTTTTCCCAAGGTAGTTATATTAGTTTCACTTGTACAATAGAGCAATTCAACCATTCCACATATTTCTCAACTTCTCAACAAGTGTGAAATATTCCTTCTAACATTAGAATTTATAGATATGTATCGTATGTTGATCCTTATATTTTGAAACATAATCTCTTCATATAGAGCAGAAAATATGTTTTGATTTTTCAATATTTAATATGACCAGCATTATGAGATTTATTTCTCATATGAGAAAACACAATTAAGGTACAACTCCAAAGATATTATAGTGTCTAATTCCACCTTGTGAAAATTTGGATTGAAATGGGAAAATAGATTGTTAAAAACAAACTGTAAAATACTTCATGGAAGACAAAGTAAACTTGAAGGATGAAAGATGAATTGACATTACTTTCAATAACCCAGCGTCATTATTCTGAGCATGTAATACATCTAAAATATTCTATTAAACAATTGAATTAAATGTTAATTTTTTTCTCTGGTCGCCTGTCCATGTCATGAATAGTAATGATTTCAAAAATTATAAGGGAGGTATTTATAAGACACTAAACTGCTGGAGGAATGGTTCACTCTTCATGGTGGTAGTATTATGTCTTATACTTCCATTTATAATATCAAAATAATTCACCATGATTGATGCTAGGATAGTAAGCCAACAGAAGCAATAGGGACTTGCCACTTATTATTTGCTATTATCATTTAGCAATATTGCAATTCAGTACTATTACTTTTATTATAACTTAAATGATTTGAAATATAATTTTGAACAAATAAGCATAAACGAAATGGTATTTACTTCCTATGCTATTTTTTTGTTCACTTATGGTAAATTTAACATTAATGATAGCTTTCAACCTGATAGCTCAGGCAAGTGATGAACTGTGTATATTCTTAGAAGAGTGATTGAAGATGTACTGGACATCTTCTAAAATGATACCTTATACTTGTGCTTGAATCTAGAAATTTATCAGGCTGTCTACTGTTTATGCCATGTTACTCTATACTCTTTCTACTGAAGTCCTGGTACATAAAGCTTAATAGAAATTCTTGATAGCAGCTGTGTTTAAAATTTATAATCTCCCTAAATATATACATGCATTATAATACTTAAAGTATATTACATACTCTAGTTAGTAAATTTGTTTTCTGCACGGTATAAAGTAAAAATTCTGAAACCCTTTTATGTGTATATGAGGATAAAAATACATAAAGTTATTGTAGATAAAGAGAATTGTGTTTGTCACTGTTGGAGAAAGAAGTAGTAAATATAAATATTATTTATAATATGTTTCATTATTTATAATATTATAAGTAATGAAAAGAAGGAGGCTAGAATAATTCTGGTGACACTGAATTAGAATCAGAAGTATCAGTATGACACAAATATATTATATCATATATATTATATATATTGATAGATTGATATGGGTGTATGTGTATGCAGTTTTGTGTGTATGTACATATATATATTCATGTATATATACACACATACTACACACACACACACACACACACACACATTTCTATGCTTAATCCACTGAAAGAGCCCCAAACCAATGAAATTCCAGTACCAGTGCACAACTAGTTTCTAGATCATGGTTTCTAAATATGATTCCCCAGTGAAAAATACCATAGCTACTAAAAGAAGTACTTGATTCCAGAGCTGTTTAGTGAAAATACAAAGTAAGCATAAATATCTTATGGTGCCAGAAACACAGCAGTGTTTCAAAAAAAGTGAGATCGTGTCAAAAAGACAAAGGAGCCAACCTGAAGAAACTACCCAAGGCCAAACTGGAACAATTTGAGGAACAAAACAAACTTTAGTATTGAATTATAACCAATAGAATAAAACAATATCTATGTTTCATACTTACATGCAATAATAATTAAATAATAAAAGATGTGGGAGAGGAGGGATAGCTTTCCATTATAAAAGAATTCAAATTTTAAAATATACAAGGAATAAAGCAAAGATAAAATCACTATTCAGCAAACATTAGGTTAATAATTATTGCAGGCAAACTCCACCTGTGGATGGTAAAATCAGTGACCAAAATTTGAAAATAGGATATCTGCAGGGTCTGAGTGCATCTTCTTGAAGGCATTTTTGATTATAAAAGGAATAATAGAAATGTTACAGTGGAGAAACTTGGCAGACAACTTCAGAAACCTATCAGGGTTAACATTATCTGCAGTAGACACGTCAAGATCCTGGACCATCCGATATTATGCACTGAAAAGGACATACCATCATTTCTGTTGTATTCTTGTCAAAATTTCAGAACTGAGGGGTGCTTGGGTGGCTCAGTCGGTTAAGCGTCTGACTTCGGCTCAGGTCATGATCTCACGGTTTGTGGGTTAGAACCCCATGTGGGGCTCTGTGCTGATGGCCAGCTCAGAGCCTGGAGCCTCCTAGCTCAGAGCCTGGAGATTCTGTATCTCCCTCTCTCTCTGACACTTCCCTGCTCATGCTGTCTCTCTCTCTCTCTCTCTCAGAAATAAATAAAACATTAAAAAAATTTTTTTTTGAAAAGTTCAGAACTGCGTTCTGGTCAGAAAATACCAGACATATCCAAATTTAGTCACATTCCACAAATAATTCATTGATCGTCTTTGAAAATTTACGTATCATGAAAGGGAAAGAAAAACTGGGAGTGATCACAGATTGGAGAAGATCAAGGAGATACAGCAACTGATATACTTTATAAAAGACAGTCTTTGCAACTTGAAGAGTTACTTTATAAATCAACCCAAGTGTTCAACAGTGATATTGAATTTTTGCAAATGAATCCTCTGAATATTGTTTGTATTTTATACAAAAACATTTGGAAATCTTTAATCAAAGTATTCAGCAAATGCAACGCAGGAACAATTCACTTCCAAAGCTTTTAGGGAAATGTAATTATTGACAATTTTGCAAACAGGCAGACATTGTAATGTATCTCTGTAAAAAGCAAGAGAGCTCAAAGGGTATACTGGATTGAACTTGAAATTACCAAGTTGCAATTTGGAAGTTCTCAACTTCTGGTAAAAAATATTTTAAAGGAATTCATAATTCTAAATGAATAAATTTACATTCTGTAGTGGAATTGAAGAAAAATGAGAAGGCTTATTATTTGCAGAATTTAAACTGAGTAAAATATAAATAGAGGGAAAATGGATTTATGAGAATTTTCTCATAAAAGCAATTTCTGAAGAAAGGTAATTTGAATGGAGGCCAATGGTAAATGCCTATTAAAATAAATAATTGGATTGAAATATTTACACATTTAAATATAAAAAATATTATAATTAAGAATATCTTTGATTTCACAGAATATGCACTGAGTTTACCAATACTTTTACAGCATCTATAGAGTATCAGTTAAAACTATTATTATTTTTTGTTTGTTTTTTTAATGTTCTTTTTTTTTTTTTTGAGAGAGAGAGACAGAGTGCAAACAGAGGAGGGACAGAGAGAGAGGGAGACAAAGAAACTGAAGCAGGCTCCAGGCTCTAAGCTGTCAGCACAGAACCCAATGCAGGGCTCAAACCCAGGAACCATGAGATAATGACCTGAACCCAAATCTGCCACTTAACCGACTAAGCCACCGAGGTGCCCCAGTTAAAACCATTATTATCAGCAGAGAATACCTAATTAATGGTGTGTATAAATCACATTTAGTAACCTTAAAATTCAACTTTAGATAGGATTGCAGGGAATTATATGAAAAAAATATGAATATCTCAAAATATATGCTTCAGAGAAACAATCTGGTATTAGTGACATAGTATTAGGGATAGACTCAACCAACATTTAGTGACTATACACCATAATTATTATACCCCTTATATTATTTTTAATGATTGATTAATAAATGCATATGTTTTGTTTGAATGCACATGTTATGTTTATTATACTATGAAGAACTGTTTCTTAAAATAGTCTTTTAATAAACTACCAAGTTGTTAGCTATTACATAACTCCTCCAAAAAGTATACATTGTTATGAATTTTTAGTACCCTTTCACTCATAAAAGTGTGTCTGTTGGGGGCGCCTGTGTGTCTCAGTTGGCTAAGTGACCAACATTTGATTTGGGCCCAGATCATGATCTCATAGTTCGTGAGATGGAACCCCACATCAGGCTCCATGATGATGGTGCAGAGCCTGCTTGGGATTTTCTCTCTCTCTCTCTGCCCTTTTCCCTCTGCACTCTTTTCTCTCTCAAAATAAATAAAGAAACATTAAAAAAAAAAAACAAACCAGTACCTCTGTTGAATGATATATATTATGTTTCACAAAAAAAACCCCACTATCTAATAGAGTATTAATTCACTTGCTACACGCATACAGTGAAAGCGGAGATGGATAAAGTGTTAAAGATAGGATGTAAACAGAAGCGAGGTGCATCCTGCATACTAGGATGGTGAGCAAGTGCATGATGGTCAAGATGGCTATTTTGGAAGGGCACACTGAATCCTGAAACTTGAAAATGCTTTAGCATTTTAGCTTTAGCTATGTGAAGAAAAGAGAAAGTCTTTGGGGCAAAAACCAGGAAACATCTGCAAGCCCCAGAAATTGAAATGTCACTGGATACTATGACCAGGGAGAGAGTGGACTATGATAAAGCTGGAGAAGTGGACAGTGAATAGAGATGCCTTAATCTAGTCCAATTCCCTAGGAAACAGCCTCTATGACAGAGATTTTCATGTAGAAATTTTTTTCTGAGAAATGTTCTCAATAACAACTGTAAGGGAGTGAGAAAAGCATAATCGAACATACCGAGAAGTTGAATGGGTGTGTATTGTGTGTATGTCATATATCATAGATCACATATATCAGAAATCATATATATTAGAAATGGGTTGCATCATCAAGAGAGGAAAAAGCAGGAGTATTACACATTGGCTTTATGTATTTTGGCTAAAAGCAAAATAAGTCACTTCTGCCCCAGCCCATTGACTACAGTAGTAATTTGGACTGACGTAATTGCATGGGACCTGAAAAATGTGTAAGAAATAGATGGGAATGCTTGGTGCAGTTGCGCCTTCCTTACAGGAATTAAAAGAGGCATTCCATAAAATCAATATCTATCTACAACACCTACTATAGCCTAATAAAGGTGTCAATAATATTTTTATGTGGAGCTACATATGAGATTAGCATTAAACACACAACCATATGTATAAGTAGAAACTCAATACATATTTGTTAAATTGCATAAGTAGTGTCAATGTTGAGATGAATAAATAACATTCCATGTATATTCATTTGGTATCAATTTTTATTTGTGATGTTATTTTAACATTGTACTCAGATTTCCTCCAAACGGGTCCTCCTTGCAAAAACTTTTGTTCCCCAAATCTGAAAATAATTGAAATGTACACTTGAGTTTTTCAGCACCAGATAGTTAATAAATGTCTGAATAATTTGGTCAGAGAAGGTGATAAATTAGTACGTACTCTTTCTGCATGATGATAATCTCTTCTTTTAGAAATATTACCCACGTAATATCTATTCCTTTTTTATTGTACTCAACCTAAGTGAACTGCCATATTTATTTCGAATAGTATATTCAGAGACAGAAATACTACCAACAGCTTTCTTTACGATCCTTTTGGCCTTACCCTGAGGTAAACTAGGGTCAAATTTCATTTATCACTTGACAACAGTAAAGCTTATACTGATCAATAGATTACAATGGCATCCAGCTCATATATCTAAGTAGCCACAGGTTCCTGAGCAAAGACTGGAAGACTGCACATCCATTCTGTAAAACAACGTATCTCCTGAAAGCTACATACCATCACATTATTTGCCTCCTTAAATACAGGCATCACTAATTTCGGATGATAGATCAGAATGGAATTTTCCAAAGTGAAGTGGGATAGGCGGGACTGGAAGGCAAGATGAGGGAGATTTGAAAAATTGGAGGAAGAAAAACAATAGTCAGGCATTTAAAAAAATAGCCTTATTTTCCCATATCTAAAGAAGTTTTGCTATGATATGAATGAAGTAAGATGCTAGAGTTGCTCAAAGATGTTCAAAGATATAATTGGAAGGAAATGATGGAAATTTCTTGGGAGGTAGAAAAGTTTTATATCTTACTTGGAGAGATGATTGCTTGGGTATATACATTTACAAAAACTCATCAGTTGTATGCATAAGGTCTGTGTATTTCATTCTATGTAATTTTCCCCTCAAAAACAGAATACAATATAGTTTCTTTGGAAACTCCAAAACTTAAGCTATTATCAAAAATATGAAAGATGCGGTGATAATGATTCCTATAGCATTTCCATTTAATTCTCTACTAGAAGAAGTGCAATTATTGTGCACTTATTGAAGAATAATTATCAGAAGTAACAGTTGTGTCAGAATGGGTATTTTCTACTAAGAAAATTATTCCAGTCCTTAGTACTCAGTATTTAGTTATTCCAAAGCAAAATAGTCCAGTCTTTTACCACCTGATATGTATCTATTCTTCTGGAAATGGATTTTTCTTCTTTTTTATTTCCCTCTGATAACAATCAACTACAGAAGGGGTTTGCTTTCATCTGAGCTATGTCTTTCATTGTCTAAAATTTATTCACATGGACTATGACCATATAACCATTTCAAAGCATATTATACTATTCCACTATTTTCAAGTACTAATCTAATAAGAACTAGAAAGTAGAAATGGGCAGATACTCTGAATGTTTTGGTAGTCATACACATGCAAAGAGGGTTAATGATAAATTATTTGAAGTTACAAAAACCTGCTGCATCAATAAAATCCTGTGTCACTCAATGTTCTAGGGACATTTGCATATTCTCTCAAAATTAAACTGTGTGTATATTCTATACACTTTTGCTAAGATACCATCTCTGACGCCTTCTAATTCACTTGCCTGTTTTGAGTGAACCATGCAAGGGAATCCTACCTGTTACATGCAACAATACAGGTCACCCTTCCTGTTGGCTCTTAAGGCTTTGCAGATTCAATCATCGTTGAGAATTTGGTAGCAGGCAGAGATGCAATAAGGACTCTGCAGAAAAGTGGAACAACAAAATCATACATTGGTCCCTTGGTTGGGGAGGCAAAGCCATGCTTTTGTTTTGCACAAGCAACTCTCCTTTGAGAATATTACTCCTCTCAGCAATAGTAAACAAACACATAAATAAATGAAGGTTCTTTGTCCAGTAGCTCCAGAGATTTTGTTTCATTGGAACAAATTAGGTCATGGTCACGTCTCTGAATTAAACGCAGTCTGGGAAATTAAATGATTTGATTAGCCATTTCTGAATCCCAGATGCCTCTGGAGCTTGGAGGCAAGTATAGAATACCTGATGCAAATGGAAGCCAAATCAAACATGGGAGCAAATTAGTGTTAGCATTAGCAAAAAAAAAAAAAAAAAAAAAAAAGGCTAATCTGCAGCAGTTTTATATTCACCCATCATTGTATACTTTAACTGGTAAGCCCCAAAATCGCATCTGGAGATGCAAAATTGTGTCTGAAGTTAGAGTGTGTCCTTTTTATTAGTTTAATATATTAAAGGTTAAAAGTAAATAAACACTACCTCAGGCATTCATAATGCTAAATATTTAAAGAAAATTTCCATTCACTTTTTACCCTTTCCATAACTCGAGGCCATACAATTACTTCCTGTCTCCCCCCCCTCCCCGGCCCCGCTGCCTAGAGAAGTAAGGAACATTGTCTGCATGTGCTCCTTTATTGTTTCCTCATCTCTTGTCTCACCAATTTCTCTCCTCTGTTGGCAGTGGTGCGGGACACAAACAGTTGTTGTCCTCACTCTGGCAGGTATTTCAGGATAATTCAATTTGATACCTCAACACCTTTTGTAATTCCAAGCAGATGAGATTTCTTATTCATACAATAGGCAGGGAATGTTCAGGATGATATATCTTTCATATTTTCTTTTCCTGACTTCTTTCTGTGCACATCTTCAATTCACATGACTTTTTAACTTCTGGATTGCTTTGAATAGGTCATAGTAATATAGATGTAGGGAGTACAAAAAAGCTAAATATATTTAATCAAAGCATAAAGATTTAAAAATTCCATCACTTCATTGAAATTTACAGAGAACAAGCATTGCAATTATTTTGATTATAATTATAATTGTGTTAATTATAATAATCTGTACAAATTTTTCTAAAACCCCAAATCAAACCAAGAAAATATCTTGCGCCTGATAAGATTGCTTTATTTTAACTTTTAACTATTTCAAAGATGTTCTCTTATACCTTTGTAAAGTATAATTTTTGTTTGTGGAAAAAAATAAAATTTCACTGCAAAAACACAGTGTAGAATGATTTCTGTACATGGTCAATTTAACAGAATAATTTAAAACTGTGTTCTGAGGGTACAGTTCTTTTTTCAAGAGTTGAGGAGTACAGGATAAAAATAGAATGAAGGAACTCTTCCTACTTTCATGCATTTATACCTAGAGAATAGGTTACATTATATATGAAATCAGGCATATCCACAGACTGGGGTGGAAGCTAATAGGCAATAAGAGGATAAGAAAAAGCTATTTTTAAATAACAGGAAGCTCTGTTGATCCTGTGTAACATTTATTTTAAAGATGAAGAAATGCTCTAGATTGATTTTAATAGCTGGGAGAAAGGCATGAGGAAAGGTTGCAGGAGATCAGTAGGAAGGAAATGACTGTTGAAGTCCGTTCATTCTATTAGGCTTAATCTTCCTTATTCCACTTCATTTTCTCAGGAACATTTTGAGGTTGCTGCTATTCAATATTTATTTCGTGAATGCTAACACCATGTTAAGTAACTTCCCCAAAGGCTTCAGAGTGAAAGTGGTCAGAATCAAGAAACAAATGGTGAGTACATTATTGTGTTCACAGCTAGCATCAAAGTTCCTGTGAGGGAGAATTTTCTTGATAAGGAAAATGTTCTTATGGCATCACTTAGGGTAGAAGATCAGGGCCTCTGGGAATTGGTAGAGGCAGGAACTCAAACTGCAAATAAAAAAAATTAAATAACAATGTGTTTCACTAAAAGAAATAAAATTAAGTGCCCACATTGGCAGCACATTTACTAAAACTAGAAGGACACAAAGAAGATTAGCATGGCACCTGCATAAGGATGACACTGAAATTCATGAAGTGCGCCATATATTTCAGAAAGCAAGCAGAAAATAAATAAAATAAAATAAAATAATAAAATAAAATAAAATAAAATAAAAGTTGAGGGATCACTACTTTGGTGTGCTCATGAAAGGAAAAACAAAAGAAAGACAGATTGAAAACAGAGAGTTTTAGTAAAACTAGGCTCTAGGTGAGCTAAAAATTCAAAGAGAAGTCCAAGGATAGATGAAGAAACTCTGAGAAACAAGAATTTTGAGTGCAAATACACATCAACTTGTGTTCCCTAAATCCTCAGTCAAGACTGATGGAAGTTTGGTCACGAGAGTTTTGCTCTAGTTGTTGTGGTGGGTTGCTGAAATTTGAACATGGGTCTAGATGTCAGACCTGGAAGGCATGTGTGAAATAGGAACACATGTGTGAGAAAAGAAGCTTGGAGTTTGAGGTGCCTCAGTTTTTCAGTTATTTCTTCTTGTCAATTTACCTAGATCTCAGAAAATGTTATCTAACACCTCTCTTTCATTTAACTTGTGTTCTTTTATTAAAATATTTTAAATATTTATTATTTATTTATTTGCAAGAAAGAGAGAATGCAATCAGGGCAAAGGGGCAGAGGAAGAGAGAGAGAAAATACTAAGCAAACATGGGGCCAGATGCCACCACCCTGGGACCATGGCCTGAGCCAAAATCAAGAGTAGGACACTCAAATGACTAAGCCACCCAGGTACCCCTGACTTATTTTTATAGCTGAGCACTAAAGAAATAATTTATAGGAAAGCATAATTTAGGTAAATTTGGTCTGAAATATTATAGTACATTTTGGAAATTTAGAGTTAATTGGTGAAAATATAAATAAATATATTTTTAAAAATTTTTAATGTTTATTTTTGAGAGAGAGACAGAGCATGAGCATGGAAGGGGCAGAGAGAGAGAGGAGACACAGAATCCAAAGCAGGCTCCAGGGTGTGAGGTGTCAGCACACTGCTACGCGGTGATCAAACCACAAAATGGGAGATCATGACCTAAGCTGAAGATGTTCAACCACTGAGTCAGGCAGGAGCACCTATTTTCTGAAAGAAAGAAAATCTTGCAGTTCTGTTCATTTAAAATACGTATTTTAAACTAATGTATCTCTAAGTAGAGACTATGTCAGCTTGTTTCAATAAATAGATAAAATAAATTTGTAATTAAGAGCATCTGCTTGGTTATAAACACACATATGTTGTAGACCATAAACTGAGATTATTCTCTTAAGTAACGTGTTCCCTGTAGTACTACTTACAACTTGAGTCTCTTTAGAAAAATATTTTTAGATATACATTGAGGTTCTGCAGTATGTAGTGGTTGAGACCATGGGATATATATATTTAAGAGAATGTGATGCAAATCCTGGGCTTAGCAACCTTAGACTTGTGTGGACTTGGGCAAATTTCTTACCTTCCCTGAGCCTTGGTTTTGTCTTCAAAATGGTGGGGTTTCAGCGATCTATCTCTGCCTAAGCAACAATCCCAAGCTTACAGATAAAAAGTAACAACTATTTTCATAAGTTCACAATTCCACAGAAGAGGAATTTGGACCTGGTGCAAGGGAACTGTAGTCTCTGATTCACAATATTTGGCACCTGTGTTCTGGCATTTGACTGGGTTTTGGTGGTTTCTTCATGACTCTCCTGCCATCTTAATGCTCCTTGGCCTCTCTTCATGTAGTATTTCATCCTTCAGGATCTTTTTAAGTTTCTTGAGCTACAGTGGATTTAGGGACGTCACAAATCCTACATGGTGACTGGTTTCCAGGAGACAGGAAGAGACAGGGAGTAGAAGTTGCTAGGTTAGTCAAGGGCTATAAAAAATATCACAGTGCAGCCCCTCTATGTTCTTTATTAGAACACAGGGTCTGACCAGACTCAAGAGTGGAGAATAGTTGGGACAATTTGATAAGGGATGGCAAAGTCATGTTGCAAAAAGCATGTCTAATTGGAGGTATGATTCTGGCTATTTTTACAAAATATAATATGCCACATGTGATAATGATGCCTGTCTTGCAAAGGCTTTATGAAGTTTAGGAAATGTATCGAGATCTGGCACACATTACGCACTTAATAAATGGTGGCAGTTTATTAGATTGGACAGTGTGGATCTCACAAAGTCTCAAATACTAAAATGAAAGGACTATTTGAAAAAACATAGCACTAAATCAAAATGAAAAGAAAATTAAAAAGATAGGATCCTAGCACAAAATACATAAACACACAATATTTATAAAGCTGTTTTACCAATGCCATGCATTAACACCATCAACTCTTCTTTATTGTTGCTCCAATCTCCCCTATAAAGTAGAGGAGTGGGCAGTCCTGAAGCTAACCGACTTGGGGAATTATTGAAAGGTTAGAAGACAGGGTATGGTGGCACAAGGTAAGATTTCTCCTGGAAAAAAACTCAGAATGATGAGAAGCAAGAATTCAGGAACTCCAAAGTCCTTTGGGAAGAGCCAGTTTTAGTTTTTTCGCAGAAAAATTCTGTATGTCAGTAACCAGAGACAGAAATTGAAATAGGTTGTCATGGAGTGAACTGTTTAAAGTTGATTTGAATTAGGTATAGACACAGACACGGTAGCAGTGGTGGTGGTAGTGTCGGTAGAGACAATTGTTTTTAATAACATTGGGTCTTCAGACTTACCTATATTTGACTGAAGATATATTTCTTTCTCTTTTTTGAAAACAAGAACCAAGTCTCAAGAAGAATTTGGGATGATAACCTGAAGTAAATATTTGGCCAAATGAAAGCCTCAGGGTTTAATCTATCATATTTATTAATATCAGATAAATTGTTCCTTTCAGTTTTGATTCATTTCATGAACTCGTTGATAACTCATCAAAAGGACACCAAGTTGAAAGCACAAAAATTAACCTGACTAATGTGAACTGTTCCAACTCATCAAAGATTGAAATGGTTGGAATGTTTACTGAAAATTTTCTGGGGGCACCTGGGTGGCTCAGTCGGTTAAGCGTCCGACTTCAGCCCAGGTCATGATCTCACCGTTCATGGGTTCGAGCCCTGCGTAGGGCTCTGTGCTGACAGCTAGCTCAGAGCCTAGAGCCTGCTTCAGATTCTGTGTCTCCCTCTCTCTCTGACCCTCCCTTGCTCATGCTGTCTCTCTCTCTCTCTCAGAAATAAAAATAAAACATTTAAAATATTTTAAATTTTCTGGTAAATCTGGGTAAAGTAAGGATATTTCAGGACCATGAGTCACACTTGTATTTATATGGGTACCTACATTTTTACTTGCATTGGCTTGCCACAGACTTAGGGAAGTAAAGCATTATTTGTTTCCACTTTGGTGCTAATGTACATGACTAATGCACTAATAAATATTGCAGGCAAATCAATTGTACTTCCTAATAGCAAGGTGAACAGCAATAGCATTTTATGCAAGATCATAGGAGATTGAGCACTAAACCTGAAAAAGGATGATTCTAACCCTGACATTTCATTATTTCTTGGGATTTGTGCATCTTCCTTAATGTACAGTTAATGTAATTTGAGGTTATGAATCTTTTTTATAGTCTTCCTTTATATCCTTAAAGTAACAAATCTCAAGTTGTGACTCTAGTAGAAAGCATTCACAGAATTCTGACCAGGAAACTAAACTAACTCACAAATTGTTATTCTTCCTGGGGAAAATGCATAAATTCTATTTATTTTTCATTGGAATATATACTTTGGGTGAAGAATGTTTGACATGTATTTGTTGCTAGTAAAATTCTCAGAATCTGTCCCACTCAGTTCATTGCTTCTGCCAGGGAAGCATGAGGTTGAAATAACAAGAAAGAATAAACAATGGAAATATTGGTTTTAGCAGTAAATGCGATATGATTGATCATCTCAGGACTCTCTGTGCCCACTGACTTGTATTCCCAGCATCATTTAAAATGGCTTAGCACCTTACACGACCAATCCTGTAAGGCAGCCAAAAGCGAATGGATTCTCCTCGGATGTTTTGAAACATATAAAAGGAGCATTTTCCATTCATTTAAAATCTGAATGGTACTAGAATGTTCTTCCTCAGAAAGATTTCTTTTTTTGCATAAAATACAACTTTTTCTCTGTGGTATACAGACTTATTGACACTTAGAGCAGTGTCTATGAGTGTGTATGTATGTGTGTGTGTCTGTGTGTGTGTGTGTGTCTGTGTATGTGTGTAGCCATTAAGTAAAAGAATTCCTTTCAGCCTTATATCATTATTGTTGAAATCCACCAGTCAAAAATCGAAAGTGGCACTCTTGCACTTAAGCAAAGGCAGTTTTTGTTTCGCTCTCTAAAGTAAGGGATAACACACATGAGAAGGAGTTGAGGGGGGCATTTCAGGAAGGGGAAGTGCGAAGGACTTCTGGGGCTTGGGGTACCAGTCAGTAATTTTGTGGAGACACCAGAGAAGTAGGGACCTGTTCTGGACAGGATACTGTCAGAAAATGGAGAAATGTGTTAATTCATTGATTTAATAATTTTTATCCAGGAGGAAGGAGGACTAAGTCAGAGCAAGAGGTGATGTTGGTAAAAAGCAATCATTGCTCAGAAGGAGGGGATTAATCATAGTTGCTACTATATGATGGTCTTGACTATGTCCCATGAGGAACAATGTTTATGTTCTAATGATTTGATTCTCAGCAGTGCCAATTGTTACTTCCTTATTATATTGGGAAAATACAGAAAAAAAATTAGCCCACACTTTACCTCTTTCAGAAGTAAACATTTGTCAGGATTTGAAAATTCTTAAGAAAAACAAAATTAGAAATAAATTTGTAATGGGGCACCTGGCTGTCTCAATCAGTTAACCATCTGACTTGATTTCAGCTCAGGTCATGACCTTATGGTTCGTAAATTCGAGCACCGTGCTGGGCTCTGTGCTCACAGTGAGGAGCCTGCTTTGGATTCTCTTCCTTTCTTCCTCTGCCCCCTTCCCTGTTCACACACTCTCTCTCAAAATAAATAAATACGCATTTTGAAAAAAGGAAAGGAAAAAAAATTTTTTAGGACACT